ACAATGATATTCTTTGTCTCTGCTTTTGATTTAAAACCTATATTGTGGCTACTCCTGCTTTCTTTTTGACTCAATTTGAATACAACATATTCTTCAACCTTTTGCAGTTGGTCTGTTGATCTATACGTGTGCTTAGTGATGAAGGGAGTTTCTTGTAAGTGTTGCATAGTTGACTTCACATTTTTATCTGTTCAGTAATTCACTGACTATTTTTTAGGTGACTTTAATATACTTATATGTAAAGAAAATATTGATAGTAAGGTTTTACAAATGCCATTTCAATTTATTATAATTCTTTGTTTCTCTCATATTTATTTTTCTGTACTAATGTGTTTTGATTCCTTTTTTAATATTTTGATGTGTATTATATAGGTTTGTGAAATATGTTTACCATGAGGCTTATAACAACCAACTTCTGATTATAACAAGCTATTTGAAATGATGGCAACTTAACATTTTTAAGAAAAGAAACAAGAAAAGAGACAGTGAAACAACTCTATTAGAAATGTAATTGTACTATCTTGCTCCCCAAAGTTTTAAGTTTTCAAGTCTTTTGTTTTAATATTTTAAAGTGGATAGTTAACACACAAATTTAAATTAAGGTATCACATTTATTACATTAATGCAATTGTTGCAAAATTACATGTTTTAAATACCCTCAATAAAACTATAGAGAATTACTAAAATACTACATTGGCAAGGAATTTTGTATGTATAAAGGGACAATGATGGGAGGAGGTGTTGTTATAGCATTGCAGTATTATTTCCAATTTTAGAAGTGTGAGTACCCAAACTGGGTCTGCCTGTCTCTCCAAATTCTGGGACTAAAAACAAAACTGAGAGACCATTAGCAGTAAAGGAAAGTTTATTCTTGATGAGAGAATTGGAGAATCTGACACATAAGATTCACCAATCAGCTTCTCATTCCAAACAAAGGGGCAAAGAGTGTAAAAAGGGATAAAAAGAAGATTTTATGTAATGAGTAGAAGAAATTATGTGTGCTTTTTTCCAAGTGGATAATATGTACATATCAGACTTAGGGAACTGTCTTCTAACAGTATTCATATGGGATGGTTTTAGTCAGGGTCACAAAGCTGGATAACAGAGATGGCATTGGTAAACAGGAATGTTACTAGTATAATGGATTGCAGTGAGATGGTAATGAGTCTAGGGGGTGAATAACAGATCAACTTGGCATCCTTTATGGCTAAAACCATTGTTTGCCTAGTTCCACATTACAACCAGTTTTACCGCTGCAGTGTAAGTCCCAGAAGTCTGTATGGCTGGCCAGATGCATGGTATCTTTTCTGAACAGAATGCTACGTAGGAAAAAGGCTTATTTTTCTCAAAGTTTGAGATATTTACCTGTTACATTAAAAATCATGATAAATTTCTCATGATCTTCTCCTATGCCATTTCAAAATACAGTGATTTCTGTTTGTTTGATCTTTCAGAGCTGGTGATTAGGCCAGGGTCTTGTACATGCCAGACAAGCCCTCTACTACTTGATTTACACCACCAGCCCTCTCATTTTTAGTTTGTTTTTGAAATGATGTCTCTCTGCTACGTTTACCAAGGATGGCCTGGAGTTAATAGTCTTCTTGACTGTGTAGATTCCAAGTGCCTAGGATTACAGGCTTGTACCACCACATGACTAATATCTAATATAGTCTATAAGAGCTAAGAAAACAAGTATTTGGGAGAACTGTTCTACTTCACAGACATATTGACTTGCCAGAGTTAACTTGGTGCTATGGTTTAGATGTGAAGCTTTTCCTACAAAAGTGTCATGTGTCGAAGGCTTATTCCCAAGCTGGTAGCATTACTGAAGAGGCGATTTGATCTAGAGGATTCACAGTGAATAGGCTATTAGGAATGGAGTATATTTGGAAGAAGTAAGACACTAGGTGTATGCATTTGAAGGATGTATCTTATCCCCAGACCCATTCCCTACCTGTGCTTCACAGCTACCAATAAGTGAATAACTCTGTTCTTTAAATTAGGGTATTCTGACTTACAACTGGTTCATAGCAAGGGACTGAAACCTCTGAACAAATCTTTTCTCCTTTTACATTGTTTTCTTGGCTACTTTGTCACAGTAACAAAAAGTAACTAACACACTTAGAAAAACACATTAGAAGAAAATTATATGTAGATTCTTGAATGGGACAACAGACCATCTATGTAAGTTAATTCCAGTTCTGACTTTTATTTTCAGCATGACTTTATTTAAGTCATGCAAGAATCCAACTAGAGGTCCTAATCTTTAACATCTATATCCCTTTATTTCTCTTGTAAGGTTTTTGAGAGAATCAAATTTAAGCTGATTCTAAATACAGATTTTAAAGAAATGTTTGCTGATTAAAACTATGAATTAATAAAGAAATTGTCATTTGTTGTATAGCTTACTCAAAGATACATCATACCTCCTATACACACAATGAACGAAATTCAAATAATATTAAGAAGTATTTGTTTCTTTTTAGAAATTTCTACATAGAATTTAAGAGGTATTAGCTCTTAAAATTTTTGTGTCTGGCCTACTATCACCATCACCACAGTTTATCTAACTCAGTTCCCTCTCTTCTGATATTACAGTATAGATCTGCTCCATCCAGACCATGGCTAGTATCTGAGACATCTGTAAGCAACCATCCCAGCCTTACTAGGATACTCTGAATGAATGAATGAATGGAAAGGATCAGGAAATGACACCTTTACTCTGGCACTCATAAAGGGAAGTGAACATCTTTAGAGTTGAAGCTGTTCCACTGCCCTCTCAGAAGACTCCGGGGAGGGGAATCATCTTACAACAGCTATGAGACAATAACTACAAAAGGCTTTTTTTCAGAATCGTCCTAGAAAGAAATCTGACCAATTATTAGGGCCAGACATAGGGATGTTAATGGACATTTTTAATAAAGTCTAGTCAATTCACATATATGATAAATAAATTATTTACTTGCCACATCATAAATAAAGATGACTTACTCAACACTGATTTAACTTTAAATATGGAATGACTTATATACCACTCAGAACCACTTCTATATATCAACTAAGAATACTAGATACAGACTTGTCACTTAATGTTGACTGTAAATTTGTTTCTATATGTTAGTAGTGAAACTATGAACCAAGATTAAGAGAAAAGTCTCTTAATATTGTGAAAATATATCATACTCTGGAATTGGATTCTTTATGTTTCACTGTAGCCTTGCCACTCACAGCCTATGAAATTTTCAATAAAATTTGTTTTCTTTCATTGTAATTTCTTCATCAGTAAATTAAAGACTATTATTCTTATAATACAGCAGACTTTTGGAAATTTTCTCTGTGATTGCCATTTATAATATCTTTGGAATATTTAGCTTCAATAATACCTGTAAAATCCTCAAAATATAAGTGCTAGAGGTTTTTTAAATTTTTTTAAATGACACAAAAAGTTCATTGAATGTGTGAATTTTAGCTCTTTGGGTCTTAGCTTAATCCCAATGTTTGATAAATTCCCTAATGTTTGTTAGTACTTTATTAAGTATTTGTTGAATGACTGAACTTATTCAGACTCTTTTTTTTTTGTATCATTGTGTGTTTTTGTAATTTCCCTGAATCTATCCCCATCCTCATTTTTAACCCAAACTGACAAGGAAATAATTTCTCCTCTCTTTTTGGCCCTGATTAGAGCATACATGTACATTTTAGGAGACTATTTACCTTTATTGCTTCTCAAAGTTCAAATTTCATGTAACAGTTTTCATCTGTTATCTCTATAATAAATATTGCTCTGTATTCTTATTCAGTGTTTTGCAATCCATAAAAATGCTACACAAGCTAATTTTCTCTATCATAAATATTCCTACTTCACTTATTAACAAATTAAAATACTAAGATGTATATTTCTAAATCTAGAAAAAATTCTGGTTTGAGGAGCATACTAAACGTATCCTTCATGATTATCAGATACCCCTTATCTTGCCTAGTGTCTTCAGATATCACAAATCTGTCAACTTCTGTGTGCTAAGAACAAAATTGTGGCACTAGTACTTTCAAAACCAGTGTTAAGTTAATTGCATCATAAAATATGGTTTCTATGAAAGTATTTGTATAATGTCTTTGAAAATCTTTTAAAATTAAGGATATATGTATGAATTACTTTGGAAAAGTTTTCAAACCCTTAGTAGCAATGATAACTTGAACTTTATCAGTAGTATGGTTTAGTCCTTTGCAATGATATTATCAGACCCATTTTCTGTTCTGTTTTTTGTTTATTTTTTTAATGTTCTAAGCCCTGACAACTCTTTACTATTTGCAATCCACATGGTTTATCCTATTCCTTTTTCTGGAATGTGGGAATATTGTATATTTCTTCTTTCCAACATGGTAGCCACTAACCACATAAAGCCATTATACACTTGAAATGTATATAGCAAGGCTGAGAAACTGTAACTTTAATTTAATTAATTCTAACTCAAATTTAAATAAGCACATGTAGGTAGTGAATGCCTTATTGGCAGAAACACTGGTTGCTAATAAATAAGAGGCCAAACTGTTTTATTAATTACACATTATTCCTGAGTGTCAACATAAATGGAGAGACTCAATTCTTTAGTATCATATATTAGTGACTGGGATTCTTTTAGAGCAATGTATAAAAATATATGCATATATGGAAATGTCACAGTGAAACACCCTATACAACCATCATATATTAACAAAAACATTTTTAAAAATGAGTGGAACACAAAAGGTAAAGAACTTTCTCCTTATCAGAAATAAAAACAAATTCTCCATAAATTAGGAAACATGAATGGGGATGAAATATTTATTAGTGCCCATACTTCCTGGACAAATAAAAGTGATATAGCAAAATGATTCAATAACTTAAAAATCAAAGACCTTTGAAATAAAAAAGGACATGCAAGAAATTCATGCAGTTAGAAAAGCAAGGAACACTCATAAGAGTAGAAAAATAAGTGTAAAACTAAAGAAAAATTTCAACACTATTGAGTTTCTTTGATAATTGTGATCAATTCACTAAAAATCTGCTCAGGGCCATCTAAGCCTACTATAACATCCATATGATTATGGTAAGGAATATTCTTATGGTAAATGAGATTAGAGATTTTGGGTTCCAAATTTTTAACATCTATTGTATCTGCCAAAATATCTCGCCCACCACTCCACATTGCAGTTGGAACCTTCATGTCTTCCACTTATACAGTGGAGGAAAGGGCTACTGGAAAATGAGGAATAGCAAAGTTTAGATTAACATATGAAACCATGAATGGTAAATTAATTATTCTCTTCTCTGAAATGGTAATAACCTGTTTAAAACCATAGAAATTATTTAGGAAGTCTCAACCAGTACTCAATAGTATGGGACTATTGCCCAAGCCTTATATCATAATAAATGAATAATTTTCTCAGACTAGAGCCTCTCTGAACCTTATATTCTTACATATGAAATGATTATATCAATAAATACCTAATGTGATGTTCAAATGATATAACACATAGAAATACATTTTGTTTAGTTTTATAATAAATATGTAGTTCATTTATAATTGTGAACTCTTTCCAAGGTCCATCTATCCCATTTTCCTTGGAAATATAAAATGCTCCATATTCTTTTAAAAAATAAGTATTTAATTAGATATTTCATAAACTTTCTGTTCCAAAAGCATGAAATTATTACATTTTGAAAAAAGCAACTTACTTGATTGTAGTGTAGAATATTTAGAGATGGACTTCCCCAGTCATAAGCTTGTAATATACCTTTACAGGCAGCCTTAAATAAAGATAAAATAGGCTATTACTTAAAAAAAAAAAAAAACTTGTGGAGTCAATAGAACTGAAGATTAGTGAGTTTTATTGCCTATATTTGTTCAGATTCAATGCCCTCCATATAAACATTCAGTAATTATTCAACCACAAAGCTATGTATTCCTGGATGAATAACTACTAAAACATATTTCCAGGCAATTACAATCAGGTAAATAAGGATAAAAATAATTCAAGTAAAATCCTAAGTAAAATACATTTATACACATATTTATAATGAATGTTAGACTATTTTCAGTTATTATCAGCCTATCCCATAAGAAAAGACCCAGTAAAAAGATGAAAATAGCTGTCTTTATAATTTTGTGAGGGATAAATGTTATAAAGTTACTCAAAATAGAAATTTGATATACATTACCAAAATTTGCAATGTGCTTTATTTTAGTGATCACCCTGTAAATATTTATTATCAAATGCTTTGAATTATCAAAATCTAAACTAATGAATTCTTACAAAGACTAAAATATGTAATCATTTTACTAGCAATGTAGACAGATTTGTCCTTTTAAAACTCAAGTGAAATCAAAATATATTTCGAACATTTACACTCAAATATGTGCTAAATTTTCTGTCAATTATTTAGAATTTCCTTTACATATAATACACAGGAAGTTTTGCAAAATAGTAACACAGGTTTTTGCTGCAAAACATATTGGACAGAAAGAGAAATAGAGCTTTCATAGCATTCTGAAGTTGAGAAAAGGATAACATAAGTTTTGTTTTTTTCTTCTTCTTCACAAAGTGGAAATGCTGGCATACCTGGAAGTATTCTAAACAGAATTCTGTAATCAAGATAAGTCTCTTCTTAGAATGTGTCATATGTTGCTTTAGTATATGTGTCAATGAATCAAAGATTTTTATGCCAATGAACATATAATCTACTTCTCGTGTAAAATTTACATACCTAATGTATGTAACTTAGAATAAAGTGAAAGCAAAATGTCCTCATAAGTTGTTCTTGTACCCTGAGTGTATATATCAGTTTATATCTTGGCCAGTAGAATTACTAAGATGAGGTCATTTTACCCTCAGTATATTGACAACCACATGAAAAATTCTTTTGAATAAGCTGTGAGGAAGAGTTATCACAATTTACACATACTCCTACAGAACTCCCATAATATCCTGATGATTGCCAAAACTATGGATAAGTTGACAGAAAATACAATTTTACCAGTTTCTCATTTGGATAGAAAAGTTATCACTTTTGAGGATAAAGAGATGGCATGACTCAGACTTTATCATATTTATTTTATCCCCAAAGGTTAGTGTTTGTTCTTAGTATCAGAGTTCTTTATCTATTAAAGGGAATATAATACATGGACCACAAAAACAGAGAATTTCTGAACCTTAACAAGGAGGGGAGACTTCAAACAAGAGAAAAAGGAAAGGAAGGAAAGCACCAAAATGTTGTACCTGAGAATAATGCAGCATATTTTGAATGGATGTTCCTGATGGAACCTGCCCCAAAAATACATTAAGATGACTCTAAGAGAAAGATAATCATCATGAATATTTTTCAATAATTTTCTTCTTTCTTAGAACAAGTATCTTTCAAATAGTGATGAAAGTTTCTTTTCCTTGGTATTTTAACCACCCTGAGCAATCTGAATAACTTTGCATTTTATATAGTACTGGATGGAAATATCTTTTTCCTGAAAGATGTCTTAAACTGAATAACCAGTGACAAAATGAACAACACCAGATTTACTAAAATGAGACAGATGGAAGAAAAATATTAAAATTTACCTATACATGATATTCAGATATACATTCATAAATGTAACATATATGGAATTTTCCACACAGTCATATGGATTACTTTAGAAATTATATGCAAAAAATACATCCTGAGTCATAGTGTATTAAATGGATAAACATATCCAAATACTGGACAGTAAATTTTGCCTGAAATATGTTTACCTATTAAGATTATGATACAGTATCACTAATATATCATCATAGAAAACATGGGCTTTAAAATAAAATGATGTATACCTCATTTGAGTTTTTTGGATCATAACCAATAATCATGATAAGCAAATTGTTATACACTGTACTAAATATTTTATGGTTGCACACATTTTGAGCAATATTATTTAAAAATGTATGGGGTAAAAATTCTTTTTCACCAAGCAGGATCCTAAAACATAGTTAAAAGAAAATGTCTAAGGAGAATGTGTTTTGGCCAGTAGAAAGCAAGAAAGATAGGAGGAATGAGACAAAAAAAAAGCCTAAAATTTTGACATACTACAAAATAGCTTATTTCATTGTGATAAGCACCATATATTATACATTTTATATAAAATTTAACAGAAGCTGACCAATTTATTACTGCGTGCACAAATGTTTCTTATCAACTCAACTAAGATGATCAGATTTGAGAGTAATGAATTTTCTCAGGTGATAAATTTGTTCTATACCTTTATTTGGTTGTGGTTACCTGGGTTTTCATGCTTGTAAAATTTTAATAGTCAATTAAAATGGATGAATTTTGATACACATAGGTCATACTTCCATTAAATTAATGAAGAAAATCACATAAAAATTACAGATATTGGAAACATAAAGCATCATGTAAGATACATATTAGGAAGAAACAACCATGGTATACAACATTTGGATGTTAATTTGGACACTATATGCAAAGCTGAATTGTAAGTGAAATTAATATAACAGAAAAGGAATCCATCTAGAGTATATCTTCAAAGTAATGGAAGGCAGGAAATACTATAAATATAATATCTTAAAACAGCACAATAATTTGATTAAATAGAAATATTTATACACAAATGCAAAAGTTAGAGAAAACTCACATTTTCAGAATACAAGTATTTCCTCAACTGTTCAGGAATGTGACTTCTCAACTGATGGCACAAAGACCATCAAAAGCCATTCCTTCTTAACTGCAATAAGAACACTGGTTAAAATTCTCAAAATTAACATTTTGATATCTCTAGAAATTAAGCAACAGCTTGAAACATTTTTTGGTGGTACTGGTAATTTCACTTGGGGACTTGTGCTTGTTGGGCAGATGGTCTAACATTTGAGTCACCCCCAGTTGCTTTTGCATTTTGAGGATGGGGTCTTGTGTTTAGGCCCTAGGTATCCTGGATCATGATCTTCTTATTTATGCTTCCTGTATGACTAGGATTACAGGTGCATACTACCACAACCAACTATTAATTGGGTAATTTTGCAACTAGCCAATTTATCAGTCACTGGAGGGGAATGAATGGGATTGAGACTCCTTAAAATATCCAATATCAGGAGAACTGTTACTTTCTTATCAATCTGACCAATCTTGGAAAAGCACTGTTTATGGGGCTTGTCTTTATGTGACATGGCTGAGAGCCAATAACCAAAGAAAAACCCTATCCCACACCCACAGATCTATGAAATACCACCAAACAAGTTAGGACATGCGTAACTTGAGTGGAAGGATAGAAAGTGTCAGAAAGAGTATTTGAAGAAAGAATGGCTCTGAATATTTCTCAAACTTGATTAAAAAAAACCATAAATATCTACATACAAAAGGCTGAACAAACTCTAAGTAGAGTGAATTCAAAGAGATCCACACCGAGAAACATGACAGTAAATTGTCAAAGGCAAAAAATCTTGAATGCAGCAATAAATCACATAAAATGAATTTTCAGGATATTTAACAGATGACTTCTCATCAGAAACTACAAAGGCCAGAACAGTGAAATAACATTTTCAATGTTCTGAAACAAAAAGAAGGTCAACAAAGAATTCCGTATCCAGCGAAATCACACTTCAGAAACAAAGGAGAAATAAATACATCCCCAAACATGAAATATATTAGAGAGTTTGCCACTAGCATACATGCGCTACCAGAAATAATAATGAAAGGCCGAATGAAAGGACACTAGACAATAGCTGGGTGACATTAACAAATAAGAGGACCCATAAGGGAAGTTCATGAGTATTTTAAAAATAGTAAAAAATGTACTTTTTTATTACCACCGTTTTTTCCCTTCTCTAATTTCAAAGGCATTAAATAAGCCAATAATCATGATGTGTTGATATGTTTATAAAATATTATTATGTTATATATATGACCAAAATATCACAAAGAGGGAAGAAACTGAGATATATTGGTTCAAAATGTTGGACACTGTTGAAGTTGAATTAACATTACTCCAAATTAGATTGGTTAACAATATCATTTGTAATCCTCAAAGCAACCAAAAAATAGCACAATAGAGTAAAAAAAAGAATCAAATGGTGTACTAAAAATGTCTACTTGATACAAGAAAAGTTATAAGTGGATGAATAAGGAAACAAAATAGGAATAAGACTTAGTGACACTCAAAAACAAAATTATAAAAATAATCCTACTGATCAGTGATTGCATTAAATTGAAATGGATTACACACTCCAATCAAAAGACAAAGACTAGGATATATTTTCAAACAATCAGCTAACAAATTCAGTTCAATCACTACCAACAGCACATCTGTCATTTTTACAGAAATTGGTAAGCCAGTCCCAAAACACATAAGATAGCCAAAGCAGCCTACCCAATAAAAGATAAAAAACAAAAAGTTAGGAGACTTACTATTTGCAATTTTGAACTTAGTACACAGGTACAGAAATGAAGAACTTCATTTTGCCATAAAGGAACAGACACAGAGAAAAATGCAGCCCTGAAATAAACCTGTATATCTATGGTTAACCAATATTCAACAAGGGGATTTTAACAAAAATGAGAGATAAAATCGTCTTTGCAAAGACTATAAAATAGTCATGCAAAGATGCATGACAAATGGATTACCATGTACAGAAAAATTAAATTGATCCCTACCTCATATGCTATACAAATTTGACTTAAGACAGACCAAAACAAGATTGCACCTAGAGGTATATGTAAAAGGTAAGTAATTTAATAAAATTTTTGTGACTTGGATTAGGTAGTAATTTCTTAATTATGATGACAAAAGCACAAAGACCAGAAGAAAACATTATTGGACTTCACAAAATTTAAAATTTCATATTAAAGGAATATATTAAAGTGAAAAGAAAATGTTAGCAAATTAAATATCTGATAAATGTTTTCTATGAAGATATATAAGGAGTTCTTATAAATCAATAATAAATAGATGAGTAACCCAATTAAAAATGAAAAAGGATTTGAATTGACATTTCTTCAAAGAAGACAAACATATCTCCAATAATCATATATGAAGACAGTTAACTATCATTCAGTTAAGAAATACAAATCATAGATGTAATGATATTTTACTTCATAACCAACCACATATGGATGGTTATAACAAAAAGGCAGCAGGACATGGTGGTGTATAGCTATAATTCTAGCAATTAGGATACTGAGGCAGAAGCATCACAATCTGTGGTCAAGAAATTTCAAGACACCAAAAATAAAGAATACGAAAGGACACAGAAATAAATAAATGAACTCATAAGAGCCCTAAATAAGCACCAAAATGAAACAGAGAACACCTGCACACAATCAAACCCTTAAAGAACAAAACAACTAAATGACAGGAATCACCACACACTGAATGTTAACAGACTCCACCATCAAAAGACAATGTTTGGCAAACTGGATTAAAAAGGAAGATCCAACAATCTGTTGCTTACAGGAGACCCATCTCATTGACAGAAATAAGCACTGGCTGAGGGTGAAAGGCTGGAAGAATATTTACCAAGCCAATGCCCCCCCAAAACAGGCAGGAGTAGTAATACTTATCTCGGACAAAGTAGACTTCAAACGTACATTGCTCAAACAAGATAAAGAAGGACACTCCATACTAATAAAAGGAGAAATACACCAAAAGGAAAAAAACAATTATCAATCTATCTGCACCCAATGTCAATGTACTCAATATCATCAAACATAATAAAAGCATATATAGACTCTGATACAGTGGTAGTGGGAGACTTTAATACCCCTCTGTCACCAATAGATAGGTCATCCAAACAAAAATTAAATAAAGAAATTCTAGAACTAAATCACACCATAGATCAAATGGACCTAGCTGATGTCTACAGAATATTTCATCAAATCCCATGCATTCCAGCTGATCACAATGCATTAAAACTAGAACTCAACATAAAAACAACTGCAGAAAACATGCAAACAATTGGAAACTGAACAACACATTGCTCAATGATCAGCGGGTCATCAATGAAATAAAAGAGGAAATTAAAAGGTTCCTGGAAGTTAATGAAAATGAAAACACAACCTACCAGAACCTATGGGACACAGCAAAGGCAGTCCTAAGAGAAAAGTTTATACCCTTGAGTGCATATATTAAAAGGACAGAAAGATTTCAAATAAATGACCTAATGATACATCTCAAACTCCTAGAAAAATAACAATCAAAACCCAAAACAAGCAGGAGGAGAGAAATAATTAAAATAAGGGCTGAAATCACACAATAGAAACCAAAAAAACCATACAAAGAATCAATGAAACAAAAAGCTGGTTCTTTGAAAAAATA